TGTGTGTGTGTGAGTGTGTGTGTGTGTGTGTGTGTGCGCGTTTGTGTGTGTGTGTGTGCGTGTGAGAGTGAGTGTGTGTGTGCGTTTGTGTGTGTGTGTGTGTGTGTTTTTGTGCGTGTGAGAGTGAGTGTGTGTGTGCACGTGTGTGTGTGTTTTTGTGTGCGTGCGTGTGAGTGAGTGAGTGAGTGAGTGAGTGAGTGTGTGCGCGCGCATGTGTGTGTGCGTTTGTGTGCATGTGCGTGTTTGTGTGCGTGTGAGAGTGAGCCGATTTATACTTCTGCGTCGGACCTACGCTGTAGCTTACGCATAGACGCACACCCATACGCCGTAGCCTGACGTGCACCTCTCCAAAAATCTAACAGCGCGTCAATTCTAGCAGACCACAAGCGCTGTGATTGGTCTGCAAGAACCCCTCCCTCCATATGTACTTGAGTTTTGTGTGTGTTTATATGCACTTTAATATATTTTAATGTTACACCTTCTTATATAAAATAAAACAAAGCAAAGAACAAGTGTCTTATCATTTATTATACTACATAGCATTATACATCAGTAGTTGCCCGCAACAAACAATGTTGATCTGCCGTGGTACAAGTCCTTGTGCAGATTGAAAGAATGCCTTCATCTCCTGTTCCGTTGTTGTCTCCTTTTTGTAGTTTTAAATAAAGATTTGATATTTATTTGCCGCCGTCACGGCTATAATGCTTCTCCGACGAGCTGCTTCTTCTTGGCGGAAAAGATCTGCTACGCTGCTGCTCCGGCAGAGCAAGTACCGAGACTTACTGCTGCCAATACATCCACAAGATGCTGCTGTGAGCATGTAAGAAATACTGCTGCTGCACATATAACACATATGAATAACTCCCATATAGCATACATGAATCACCCCGTAGCAGATCTATACAGGTGGAGCTGGGGAAGGTGGAGGGTTTCTAAAGTGCGCTGCAATTGCTACAGCAAACAAAAGCCAGGTATTTGAATATTAAGCAGTAAGCTCATTGGCTACCGATACAGGAGAGAACCAATCAGCTGCCATGTGACAATGATGTCACCAGGTCAGATTGAGCTAGACCTATCGGACTGCACCATCTAGAGTTTCATGCCAGAACTCTGTATTTCTTTCTTCGAAGTGCTGAAGTCGTGTGTGAGTCCCTAGGTTGTCGAGCACTGCACTGTGTGTTTGTGGGATGTGCTGTCAGATTCGGATCTGCTGTAGTGCTCTGTTGTGTCCCACAGGCCTCATCCGCCTGCAGGAGCTCATTAAAGCTCCATCCAGATACAACATCCGCCTGAAGATCCGACAGCTCGCCGCAGACACCAAGGACGCCAAACCTCTGCTCAAAGAGATGAAGAAAGCTAAGGAGTTCCACGTCATCTTCGACTGTAGTCACGAGATAGCCGCCTGGATCCTCAAACAGGTGAGAGCTCTGCTCGGAAACACAGCTTTTGAACACTCACACGAGCCCTCTGTAATGTCTGCGCTGAGACAGAGCTTTGCTTCTCTAAAAAAAAGACATTCTTAAGAATCAATTACTTCTTATTTTCTAACTTTAAAGTGAAGAACATTTTGTATTTCCAAAAACATGTGCGGTCTTCGGTCACTTCTGACCGGAGAATTTTACATTTTGAATTTTTAAAAATGGTGACTTTTATGGCACTTGGTATTTGAACACAAAAAAAAATTGAGGGCATGATTCGCAAAAGCTAAGTGGTCGCAAAAAAATGGTTAAAAAAATGACAGACCATAGAAAATGAATGGGGAAATAAATCGAAAATACAGAAAAGTTTGTGTACAATCTACAAATCCCCCACAATGCAGAAAGAAATTGTACAGCAATGAAGGGGTGAAACTCTAAAACATTTAGAGTGGAAAGTCAACACACACGCAGACACACACTTGTGTACACACACACACACACCTATGAACTGGTGTGACTAACACTGCAACTATGTAAAATAAAATCAATAATTCAACTACAGTAAAAAAAAGTGGTCAGCAAGGAAGGGGTTACACTAAAACATCAAGAGTGTAAAACAGATACATCCACTCACACACACACTCGCATACACACACATACAGAAATATACATACTCAAATGAACTGGTATGGTTATAACCATATAGCCAAAATGAGTCAGAAGACTGAAATAAGAGGTTAAAATCAGATCAGAACACACACATACAGAATTATACATACTCAAATGAATTGGTATGCTATAACCATATAGCCAAAATGAGTCCGAAGACTGAAATAAGAGGTTAAAATCAGATCAGACCCAGAAGGATTAAGCTCTGATAAAGCATTCCTTTTTATTTTGGTTACATTTTTATAGAAATTTAATGTTTTGTGTAACAAAATCTTTTCTGTGTTCAGGTTTGAATGTAGTAATAATGCAAAAACCTACACTTCAAATCAACATTTAAAACAACAAAAAATATAAACCTTGACAAAAAGTAGTCTTTGAGAATGCCTTAATACACATTTAAATCCACAACCTAATAAAAGTAAACAATTATGTATAAGAACAACCGGGGAATTCACAAGCCTGTCCGTAAGAATATTTTTGAGAAACCTTTTTCAAGAATTGCACTTGTGAACTTAGAGAAATCTTTGATTTTCTTAAAAAGTAAACCGTAATTTCTTAAGGACAAAAAATACGTACTTAAGAACAGTTTTGAGAGCATCTTAATTTTTTCTTCTTATGAACATCTTGGAGAAATCTTAATTTCTTAAGAAATAAATGCGATGTACTTAAGAATATTTTTTTAGACTGTCGTAAGAACTTTTCCAAGAAATACACTTTTTTTGAAGAAATCCTAAATTTTCTGAAGAAATCAACATGATGTACTTGAGAACATTTTTGAGAATGTTTTAAGAATTGTTCAAGAACTGCACGTCTTGCAAACTTCTTAGAGAAATTATATTTTCAAGAGTTGGACTTCTGATGAACTCCATTTGATCTCCTGTAATTGTGCTGCTCTCCTAATGAGATCTCGTTTGATGAAGTTTGATGTGTAACCTCAGAAACGTCTCATTTTCGGAGTCGCTTAATTCACGTCTCCAGTATGAACGATGATTGTTCTTCTCCTCCAATCATATTTCACATCTTAAATCTCAGTGTTAGAAATTCTATTAGTGTGACGTTATTACAAAGGCCTCAAACCAAAATGGGAATGTAATTAAACGAGGCGTTTTGGCTGCAGGACTTAAAGATCTCTGATTAAAGATGCAGCGATGCTGATGAAGCGTCGCTCACTTATTAAAAACCCAAATCTTTCTTAGGACCCCGTCATCTGCGCTCGTTTGGCCTCGTTATGTGTGGGTGAATCTCACAAATACACATATATACAAAGAAAATAAAACCTATTTTATAATCATTAAGATTTGCATGACAATTAAGCACATTTTCCTCTTGAATGTGAGAAAATAAAGATGCATTAAATTATAAATTATTTAGAGATCATAGTAATTGTAGTACTGCACTTATGAGAATCTAAAAATAACCATTATTGGGAATAAGGGGAATTACAAAAAAACTCAAAAGTAAAAATATTTAGTGAAATATTTTCTGTTTTGTTTTCTTTGGTGAAATATTGTACTTTAAAAAAAACTTTATTTTTGAGATAATATTTACTTAAAATATTTATTTACTGCCAGAAATACTGCTTTATATGTGTTCGTAAATATGTGTAATATTGGTTGCACTTTATTGAATTTATGGTGATTTCAATAATTATTGCACTGATTGTGATCTGATCTTGTGCTATTTAATTTTTCCGCAGGCTCTTTCAATGGGAATGGTGACGGAATACTATCATTACATCTTTACAACTCTGGTGAGACACACACTCACTCCCTCACTCACTCCCCCCTCACTCCCCCCCTCACTCACTCACTCACTCACTCACACACAGACACACACACTCACTCACACACACACACACACACACAGACACACACACACACTCACTCAATCACTCACTCACTCACTCTCACACTCACTCACTCACTCACTCACTCAC